ATAACAATAAAAATAAAATAACAATACAATAATAAAAAACACCATAATATATTCATCATTTTGATCATGTGACAGCCATGAATCCGCAGTAGAAAGGATACAAATTACTTACAGCAATAAAGCAACAACAAGGAAAGAACAGTGATGTAAAAAAAACAATCATCTGAAACAATCATCAAAAAGTTACTGATTCCCTACAATACCCAGAATGCATTTCAGAGCTCTAACAGAAGAAGCAGTTTGTCTGCAGCTGTAATTCATGGCTGATTTTACTACATTTTCCTCCTCAGAGCAGTTCTGTGTTGATGTTTTGACCATGGCGAAAGCGGCCAGGAAACACACTCTGGGAGTTTTCCACCCTACCTTCAGTCTGCTGCGTATTGTTCGGCACTCCCTGCTGGAGAAGCTTCCGGCAGACGCCCACCTCCGGGCCTCTGGAAAGCTCTGTGTGTCCCTCACCAGACTGGCTGATGGAAAGAACGTTTTGGTGTCAGAGTTTGACAGCAGAGAGGAGCTCATTCAGGTAGAAGAGGGATGGAAATAATTTGCAGCCTGGTTTGATTTCACTGCATCTGTTCTGATAATATTCCAGCAAAATGCCAGCAGCTGAATGTCTGATATCTGAATCGTCTACCCATACAGGTTCTCACGTGCAGCTGCTTTTTTCCTGTTTACTGTGGTTTCATCCCACCTTCATACCGTGGAGTGGTGAGTAGAGATCCATACATTTTCTAACTTAAGTTTTTGTTAAAAGATTAGAAGGAATGGTTATACAATATGATTGTACTGTGTTCTTTACTTTAAAGCCCCCTATAATCTTTTTAAATCCTATAAAAAGGAGTAAAAAAAATCTGAGGAGGGATTTCTGTTTGCCTATACTTCATGGTGCATAGGGGAGAGAAAAATCTGAATACTGCAAGTCAAACTTAGTTACATGTATAATTAGTAGTAGTAGTGTAGTATTATTAAGAACAACTTTATTGTAGATGTGTTTTGACTTGTGACCATCTGAGTCATCATACAAAACTGCAATCTTGCTGGAGTTTAACCTCTTTAAATGTCTTATCAATATTGTTTCAAATAATGTAATAATCATTACATTATCAAACCCTGCAAGCTGATCATTTTGAATCTTTTGTGGCCATCTGAGACTTCGATCAACATTTATTTCCTTTCTCCTTCCTCTCAGCACTATGTGGACGGCGCCCTCAGCAACAACATGCCCCTGTTCGAGCAGAGAAACACCATCACTTTTGCCCCGTTCTCAGGAGAGAGCGACATCTGCCCCAGAGAGGGTACATTCAACTTCTTCGAGGTGCACTACGGCAACATAAGCATCCAGGTCAACACAGGAAATGTGCATCGGATCTGTACGTCCTTCCTCCCTCCCAAACCTGAGGTGAGTCTAGTCTTTAAACATGTTTTTTAACTCAAAACTTTCACAGAGGAAAATCTCTACTTCTCTCATCTGTCACACCAAGAACACGAATGTATTGAGTTAAAAGACGAGCAAACAAACCTTGTTCTTGACAGAAGCTGGCTGAGATCTGCCACAACGGCTACATGGATGCTCTTCGTTTCCTGAGAGAAAGAGGTGAGCTCTTCCACCTTCATCCTCCTCACAACTGAGCCTTTGATTTTTTGTTGTTAGTCAGAAGCAAAACATGTTAGTAGTCAAATGTCTGTGATAGATCTGCTTGGACTCCAGCATCTTCCCTCCAGTTCTGTGGCAGAGACCTTTAAAACAGAGAAGACATTGTTGAATGGACAAAACCCTCATAAGGAAGATCATTGGTGGCTGGATCTGAAAGTCGAAGAGAACCTCCCAGTTAGCTTCAAGAAAGGTAAGGAGGACAAATGGGACTGGCTCCTAATAATCAGGCCACAGGTTTGCAAGTCAAACAAAGGGTTAAGTTAGTTTCAAGGTTCGATGGCCATAGGCAGAATACACAGACTGGGATAGAGAATAATGAATGCCCCTGATGTCCACATTTTGTGTATGTGTATGTGTGTGTGTCTCAGTGCTGTGTGTGGCGTGCAGGGACGATCAGGATGGTGGCAAGTTCCTTCCAGTGAAAGTGGTTATGTATCTGCTGACCCTCTTAATGCTGCCCATCGAGCTGGCTGTCTTACTCACCAAAAGGTAAAGCGGTTTGATCATGCAAGCAGAGAGGAAGGGGATGAAGCAAGAGAATAACTGTCACTTCACATCAATCCATCAACAATTTTTGATATATTGGTCTTTTCTCGTGGCAGCATAATGCATATAATATATAATTGCAGACTTTTGACGT